CGTGCCGTCACTAATTGGAAAACAATCCTGGCCCACTACTGCCATTGCAACATCCAAAAACTGATTTTTGAATACTTTCGCCCCAAATGTATTACCTCCTACCAGTTTTGTACACAGTCAGCTGGCATCGGTGTCGCTGGGTGTATATGATAAAGGGAAGTTGAGCAACCAAATTTGCCGAGTTCGCAGTTTTTCGACAATAAAAAAATAACTAAGGCAACAACTCACGATTTTTCAGCATTTTTGTAATAAAGACATTATTCTCTATCAATAATCCGCCCAAAACAGGAACATTTCTACTAATTCTTGTGTTTTTTCGACGTTTTTCGAAAAACCTGCGATTAGGTTGCGAAAGTAGAACATTCCGGAGGGGGAGAAACGAAAAAGCAAAATTTAACTCGTAAAAATAGAACGCGTATTTTGACCTCTGTGCGTTGTTGCCAAAGAGCCCCGCATGCAGCCATCACCTTGCAATGCTCTTCCGTTTCACCAGTTGCGTTTTTTTTGACTAAAATTTGGGCAGTACTGTCATCACGGGCTAATTCAATGGTCATCAAACACTCCACTACTAAACAATCTGTCGCAAGGTGGTAGCGTACTGTATATTTGACCCAGATTTGACAAGCGTGGTACAGTTTTTTGCGCATGTCCATAATAACGCGCACAAAGGATTTGCTGGCTGTATTTGCTGGCATTCTTGACCTTTGACTGCAGTTCTTTTTTATATTTTAGAGTAAATGCTTCTGATATGCTCTTACATTGCTTAATATCCGTCTGATATTCTGGACTGTGGTCATATTTTTCGATTAGGAGTCGTATATTTAAATAACTCACCGTGAATAGTGTTTTGCACAATGAAGTATATTATTATGAAGGTCGACACACTGTACTTTAAGTAAATATTTACCATTTCGTTATTTCATTATTTCGCTTTCCAGCATTTTCAGGAAACGCTTCATTCTAAAAAATGCTATTGCAAAATGGTTGGAAATAATAAATGTAACAGCAGAATATGTCCTAGCACAGTCACTCTACTGGGACAGTGACTGTGGTCCTAGTAATAAACTAAGTGACTCCGAAGACTGAGTGGTGTTTGCGAACTTCGTATTAGTTATAAACCGACGTTAGCTTCACGTTTATGTCACACCATGGAAACAGCCAAAAACATGTTGCTTGTTTTTGAGCGGAGCGGATCGCCAACCAGCCTACCGGCTTGGCTTGTTGGCGATTCGCTCCGCTAGGATTGCCCTTATAATCACTTTTGTCGTTTTGTGTGTGTGTCTGTGTGTGTACATTTCCAGTGTTTTCATGTATGATTTCTTCTGTGATTTTTTTGGCTTGGCCGATTTCGTTCAAATTTGGCAGGTAGGTCACACCTTCACCCTAGTTATTAGGAAAAATCTGGAAAAAAATTTTGGTCCACCGTTGCCATAGCAACAGCCACAGCCAAAAAACTGATTTTTCGATAGCTTCACGCCAAATGTATCTCCTCCTACAAATTTGGGATAAAACACTTCAGACATAGCTCATTCTACTCAGCTTGAGTG